AGCGCGTCCCTCGGGGAGCCGCCCTCCCGGAACGCCCCGGTTCCCTGAGGCCTCCAGCTCCCGCATACACGCGCACCGAGTCTGTGCCGGCTCCGTCAGCATCAGCATAACGTGAGGGCGCAGCCCCCCCGGCCCCGCTGCCGTCCTGCCTTCTTTGCAGCCCTGTAGCTCATGGGGGGTGTCAAGTCACTGGGGTTGCATTGACCTTCACGATATCCCAGTGAGAGAATATTCTGTCTTACAGGTGGGCAGCCTGTGGTTAATGAATACAGAAGGAAACGCCAGGTGCTCGATTTCAGCTTATCCGATGGTTTAATAAACGAACATCCTTCCTCTGCTGACCCTGTTCTCTTCCAGAGGGACCGTAGGTAGGAGCCAGTCACCATCTCCATGGCAGGAGTGGCCCAGTTTCCCTGCCGATGTGTTTGCTGGGCTGTTGCTTCCGTGCCCAGCAGTTCCACGGGTGTGAGGAGCTGCATGTCGTTGTTGAGAGCCCAGCACACTATAGGAGAGTTAAAACAGCAGCAAGAAAAGACGTGTGTTCTATTCAGTTGTTCACAGTGTTTAAACACAAACTGGGACTTTCTTACAACGGAAAAAAATACCGTTTTTCTGATTCCTGTCAGACCGCTGTAAAAAAAAAGTCTAGTTTTGACTGAGGGCCCACAGGCTGTTGGTTTTCTCCCTTCTCTGTCTCTCTTACCCCATTTCTCTTGTTTTCAGCTGAACCACAAAACTACACGAGTTGGTGGAGGTTTCCTCAGGTTTGGTTTTCCAGCAATCTTACTGCAGGAGTTCCCTCTGGTGGTCAGGGATGGGGAAGTGAGGAAACGCTTCAGCTTGTCCTGCTGGAGAACTCACTGTTAATAACGAGACTCTGAAGGAAGTGGTGAAATATCAATATAATATTCCATTCACCTACCTGGCAGTGAAAACCCCACCAGCACCCAGGCCTGGTTTCAAGGTTTCCAGCAGTTGGAGGCTGAGCTGCTGGAGAGCAGTGTAGGTGAAAGAGACCTGGGGGTCCTGGTAGACAGGAGGATGAGCATGAGCCAGCAATGTGCCCTTGTGGCCAGGAAGGCCAGTGGCATCCTGGGGTGCATTAGAAAGGGGGTGGTTAGTCGGTCAAGAGAGGTTCTCCTCCCCCTCTATTCTGCATTGGTGAGGCCACATCTGGAGTATTGTGTCCAGTTCTGGGCCCCTCAGTTCAGGAAGGACAGGGAACTGCTTGAAAGAGTCCAGTGTAGAGCTACAGAGATGATGAAGGGAGTGGAACATCTCCCTTATGAGGAAAGGCTGAGGGAGCTGGGTCTCTTTAGCTTGGAGAAAAGGAGACTGAGGGGTGACCTCATCAATGTTTACAAATATGTAAGGGGTGAGTGTCAGGGAGATGGAGTTAGGCTTTTCTCAGTGATGACCAGTGATAGGACAAGGGGTAATGGGTGCAAATTGGAGCATATGAGGTTCAAAGTGAATATCTGAATTTATTTTTTTTCCTGTGAGAGTGACAGACCCTGGGCCAGGCTGCCCAGGGAGGCTGTGGAGTCTCCTTCACTGGAGACATTCAAACCCACCTGGACACGTTCCTGTGTGATGTGCTCTGGGTGACCCTGCTCTGGCAGGGGGGTTGGACTAGATGATCTTCTGAGGTCCCTTCCAACCCCTAGGATTCTATGATTCTATGATTCCCTCTCTGACATCCTGATATTCCTCCTCTGATTTTATCCTCCCTCCTAGTCAGACTAGGAATTACGTTTTTACTTCCTGAGGACCTCTAAAACTTGGCAACTGATTTACAGCCCCCTTAAATGGGGAGAAGGTCTCTTGCTGAGTCCAGTGAGCGAGTCATGAAATTGTGCCAAGAGGAGAGAACTTCTGTACAGCCCTGTTCTCTCCTGGGCAGCACCCGAGGATGGTAAAACAAAATAAGGAAACATCTGGGTTAACCAAAGGCTTCATCTGCTAATGACAAGGCAACCTGGTGTCACATAGTCCTGCCCTGTCACTTTGCAAGGTCAGACTGTGTAGATCTGGTCTGAATTGTGTATGTTGATACTTTGACTTACAAAATTAAAACTAAAGGAGGAAAAGGCACATCTTCTGGTTTCTTTTCCCCTGTGACCTCAGGAGGTAGCATTTCTGCCATAGAAATTTGTTTCCTCTTGGGATGGTTTTGGAATCTGCTCCTGGCAGGAGGTTTGTGTCGTGTTTGCTCCTGGTGTTCATGTGATGTGTGTCATTCACACCTGGCCTGGAAGTGTCCCCTGTGCCAGAGGTTCCTGCCAGGTGCTGGAGCTGTCATGTCACCACCAAAATATGGCATTTCTAGTGGACACAGGTGACAGCAGCTGTTGTGTGAAGGGCTCTGTGCAGGGACTTAAAATAGAGAACCTTGGAGTGTGCGATGGGCTGCAAGAAGTGACATTAGTCCTGCTGGGTTAGGTGCGAGGGGGGAGCTCTTGTGTTGCCAGCTGCAACATTTCTTCCTGCTAAAAGTCAAGATTTGCTTCTGAATTTTGCTGGGAAGCATTGCCAGTTTGGAGAGGGGAATGGGCTGGAAGGTTCTGGTTGCAGAAATGCGCAGAGCTGAGGAATGGAGCAGCCTGGGCAGGGGGGAAGGGCCTGGCAGCCAGAGATAATTGCTGGTGAGGATGCAGTGAGGCCATGGAGCTCGTGAGAGGTGTGGGAGCCGGAACGCGGGGCTGGTCCGGTGTGTGTGAGGGGCTAATCAGGGTAATTAGGGGGATGAAGAACCTGCCTCCTGGGGACAGAGACCGGTTCGGTTTGTTGGGCCAGGAGAGGGAACAGCCCCAGCACTTGGGGTGGGAAACAGTCCTTGGTGAGGAGAATAAACTGAGCCCAAGAACAACAGGATACGGGAACTGTCAGCTGAAAAGCAGGTTTATTTTATCAGAGGTGAAATCCCGGAGGGATCGTCCTGTGGAGAGAAGGGGGGGGGAATGAACATTTTAACAACTCAGATCGCTTTTTAAAAAACGGCCACAGGAAGCCGGCCCTGCTAAAGCGAG